GACATTTTATACCTCAAAGACATAGACATATATAAAATAAGTCATTGGGCTTGATCCTGCAGTATTTAAGAAAAATTCCTAGTGACTTCAGTGAGGCATTTAACTGAGTAAGAGCAACAGGATAATAGTAAATGCTTTGGGTGGTCAAAACTGCCTTCGGGATTTGGATTCCAAATTCTCTCCCCCAGGGGAGCCAGAGCTCTTGTACAAGCTGTTCTCTCTAGCATTTAATCTTATGCTGTCGCACAATTTTTGCCTACCTTTTGTCATTAGCTCAGCAGTCTGATTAAGTTCAAGTGATGCTTTAAATGCAGGAGAGAATGTCGGAACTTTGACGAGTTTTCTGAGATACCATGGGCTCTTTCCCATAAAAATAAAATGAAGTTGGGTGTTTGCATCTAAAATTAATGACCGTATCACTAGGTAATCTGTTCTTTCATCTTTCCTTCCTTAAATTGATTGATCCCTACATTCTGAATACAGCACCAAGCTTTTGTGGCAACCTGAAATAGATTTTGAATTGTGCTGTAATGGCATGGATGCTTGTTAAGAGTTTCTGAAAGTTTAATCCACGAATGATTTATGGGTTTGTGTAAGAGCAAGAGCAAACATTATTTGTATTTATCACGCCCCAAACCTATTATCTGACACCAGTGGTAATTTTTTATTGTTTGTACTTCAATGAATTTGAATTATAATTATGTACAATAGCAGCTTTATGATAAATATCTTAGTGATTTACAAAGTATAATTAATCCTACTCTAGAGATGGGGAAACTGAGGCCCAGAGATGTTAAGCAGCAGGCTTGAGTTCTTACAGAGAGCAGAGCGGGAAGTAGAATTCAGATCTCCTTGTTCCCAGTCCCATGCTTAGACTACTACCCCACATGTCAGAGGAGTATAAATGAGGGGAATAATAAGAAATGAACTGAATTTGAACTATTCTTAGTTTTAAAATGTATGAATAAGTGACACTTTTCTCTTGTACCCCAGTTCCTCTACTACTTCTCCCTTTACAATTAGATGGCCTGAGCCTAAGAGTTCCCATCTCTTTCTCTTTATTTGTCTGCCATTTGCCCTCAACCACTTTATTTACTTTCTTGCCTTGCTCTCTCCCCACCCCCGTCCTGATATTCCTGTTTAGGCTGACCAGACAGCAAGTGTCAAAAATCAGGACAGGAGGTGAGGGGTAATAGGTGCCTATGTGAGAAAAAGACCCAAAAATCGGGACTGTCCCTATAAAATTGGGACATCTGGTCACCCTATTCCTGTTGCAGGCTGTCACTGGGCTTGCCAACTTTGATTGGACAAATTCCTGGAGGTTTCTTCATATGACATAGTCTTTAATTAAAGATTAATCTTTAATTCCTGGAGACTCCAGGACAATCCTGGATGGCTGGCAGCCCTAGCTGTCTCACACTCGTTAGGTCTACCACTCTCTGCTGGGCCAAGTTGGTGGCTGTATGAAAATCCTGCATAAGCAGGTTTTTCCCCCAGGTCAGGGATATCTGCATATATTATGTGCCTCTCTGGGGAAGCTGAGGTTTAAAGCTAGCAGCCACCCCAGCAGAACTGACCAGGTCACATACACATCTAGTGCCCTGCAATACATTTGTCAAGGTTCAATGAAACTGAAGGCAGCATTTTTAAAGGTGATATGAAGAAGTACTTTTTCACCTGACTCATAACTAGCCTGAGGAACTCATTGTCACAAGATCTCATACAATCTAAGAGTTTAGCAAGATTTAAAAATAGGATATTTATATGAATATTAAGAATATTCAGAATTAAAATGTATAAAAGTTTTTTGGAAGGGTATAAACCTTTATGCTTGAGGGCACAAGCCAACCTCTAACTGATGGAGATTAGAAAGCAACTTTCCATTATATATGTAGTACTCTAACTGCCTACTGCAAGGTTTCTTACACAGGTTACTGAACTGCTCTGGTATTGCAATTTCTCTGTCCCTAAAATGTCAGAGAAGGTGATAGAGGAAATCAAAGACTGTGGGTGGTGTTCTGGGGCCATAAAATAACTTAGGTTGGGTAGGGAATATTTATCTGTAATGATCAAACTTTTCTAAAGTTCAGGTCAAAATTTGGTCTTGAATTTTAAGCAGATTCTTAATTAGTTTGAACCAGTTTGCTTAGCTTTAATGAAGAGGATATTTTTCTCAACACCTGTAGGAATTTTTATTTTTTTTTAATACAATTTGTGCTTTAAATGTAAGCTGAATCACTTCTATGGGGTATAAAGATGGACAAACGCAAACCTCCGCAGACTTAATGTGTCAGGTAATAAAGGCAACATGTGAGATAGCAGTATTAAAATTTAATAGTCTAATAATAAGGAGAATGTGCTGGTCATTGTGTAGGAAAACAAAAGTTAAAAGTTCAGCCTGTGATTACAGCTTTCCATGTTGAGCCTTAAGGGCCTAATTTAGATCTGTGGCTTTGCAGCACAATGCGGTGGAATCTTTCAGAAGAAAGCTGCATACAGATTTCAGCGCAGTGTTCATCTCTCATGATCTGAAATACAAATGGCTGCAAACATAATTGTGTCATGTAAAAGAGATGGGCTTCGTTCAGTCTTCTCTGTGAGGCTGTTGCCACGGGACAATATATTTTCAGCTAAATATTTCTGTTGCCAGGAACATTTTCTCCCTAACTAAGCTTTCAGAACAGTGATCTTCAAATTAACTGTGGTGCTGAAATGCTAATATTGGTATGTAAAGGCATAGCTCACTTAATATGCAGGACTCCTAGTATTGTAAATTGGATCTAGATTCTAGGTATTTCAACTTTACAAAGTTAAACACTACAATCTTGGACCAGTCATTGGGAATACTTGACACTACTTTTGACATAGTATAATAGCTGTCATGGCAAAGCAAATTATCTAGGTTGCCTCCGTTCATCATATAATGTCTGTTGCAAAGGCAACTTAGTGTAGATATTGAACTGATTTCTGCACCCATATCTAGTATCTCAGAAGTAAACAGGATACTGCTTCTTTGGATATGAGCTAGCCCAGCAACTGCTCAGAGCATGGTCATAAGAGAAGGAGCCACTTGTTCAGTTGACCCTGCTAAGGAAATACAGGAGAGCTTTCCTGAGGGGAGAAGCAGGGGAAAAGACTATATCCTAGCTGCCTCTGCCAAAGGAGTGGAGAGAGGTGTGTCTGGAAGAACGTTCATTGGTCAGCATTAACTCAACAGTTATCACAGAAATTCTATATTCTAACCAAACAGAATGGATGTGGCATCGTAGTAAACACTGACTTTTTAATGACAGCTACAATGTGAGAGACAAAAACTCACTGTCCCAGCCAGCCAAAATCAAAGGTAAAGTGACGCTACCTTGAAGTGTTTAGTTCCCAGCATGATTTTTAGGCCATGTTGTGTATGTAAGCTGAAATAACTCGGCAAGTAATAATGTCCCCACCTAGATTTAATCACTGATTAATGTATTTACTGGATGGAGAGACACTTTGTAAGCAAGTAATTTGAAGTTTAAAAAAAAAAAAACATGTTGTGGCTAAACTGATACTTTGTCCTGAACTTTAGACATTGTGCCATGAAGATTTTGAATTTATTTTACTTCTCTAAACAGAAAGGGTCATGTTAGTTTTCTCATCAAAGGCTATGACTTTTCTTTGAAATTGAAGAATGGTTAAGAATGTCTAGGTTGGTTATAAGGTGCACAATGACCTCTAGTTCTTATTCATGGTAGTATCACACCTTAAACATGAACTTCTAAAAACAATAGGTATTGTTAAATTAATAGAATCCAATAACATGAACAATTATTTAGAGGTCATTCATTTTGATTTAGTGGCGTTATTTCACTGGGGTTCACACTTCAGTTAAAAACTAGAGGCCATAACAATCCTTCTGTAGATTTAAACCTCAGATGGGTTGAACTGTCAACCTCCATCTTATTCATGTTTCTGTACAACTCAGAAAATATTTCTGATTTGCATTGTATATCTGTATAATTAAGTTATGGTTATGAACATTTTGCTCCTTTTTAAGGGAGTCTAGTAGCAGTTCTTTAATATTGTGATGTGATTTATTTTGAAGTAGCAGTTAGTGTTGCTTTGTTACAAGTGCTGTGTGAAAGGTAAAATTTGAAACCTAAAACTAAGCAAACTCTGCAAATTTGGACTTTGAACCTAAAAATGGAACAAGTCAAAGTTTACTATGAACCAGTTTGTATCAAACCAGGAGATTTTGCTGCTTCTAAACACATATGGTTTAAAAAAACAGTGTTTTTTTGTGGTTGAATTTTGGTTTTGTCTAAATGTTTTTAACTTCCATGGTAGGTTTTCTCAGTGGAATAAAACTCAAACTAACAGGCAATATTCTGGAGCTGAACATAACGTCAGTCGTTCATTTTGAGTTCTGGATTTGAAATGAGTGTGAAAACATGTGAATCAAAATTAATGAAAAAGTTAGCTGATATCTGTGTGAAATGAAATTTGCGAGTTTCACATAGCCCTATCGGTTGTGATTGATTTGACTTTAGTAAAAAAAAAAAACTGCACGTATTTCAAAGTCGTCTTCATATTTAGCATCAGCAGTAATGATAAAGGACCCAATCCTGAAGTCCTACTTGGCAAAGCATCCCATTAACTTCATTGGGAGTGTTGTCTAAGGACTAAAGGCCAAATTCTGTGGTCCTTACTCCCACTGAAGTTAATGGGGAATTTTGTTGTATCTGAGGAGCCCAGTATTTGTCTTACATTAAGAACTTCAGGACTTGTTCTTAAGTAACTGGAATATAAGCTAAATATATATATGTGTGTGTTAGAATCAAATGACACCTACATTATATAGTCTTCCTTCAGTGTTGACTAGAACCCTGATCCTCAGGAGCCGCTCTGGAAAATTCATATTATTGGTCATGCATATAACACACAATTGAAGTAGACCACCCTGGACAATGCAAATCACTATTACTAATTCATCTTCAACAGTGGATGGATCACTTGATAATTACCTGTTCTATTAATTCCCTCTGAAGCACCTGGCATTGACCACTGTCAGAAGACAGGACACGGGGCTAGATGGGCCTTTGGGCTGACCCAGTATGACCATTCTTATGTTATGTTCTTATGTTCAACACATGTTGAAATAATGTGCAGTAGTGGTCACTCTCTTGTAAACTTTCCAGTTGCCTTCTGTAAGTTGATAGGTTCCCTGGGTTTGGCTGTAAGAAATACATAGAATATACTGCAAATACAGAATTAAAGTTATTTAAGGCAATATTCAGACTCACTTTGACTATACATGTGCTCCCACCTAAGTCCTTGGGGCTAGTTATGGAGTAAGATGCTACTCATGAATCAACATGTCTGCATTTGGCCATTGTGACTGACGGCAAGTTCTTAAGGGTGACCATTGGGTCCAACACACACAAATTGACAAAAGAGAGGAAATACATATTGCTAAAATTGTAGCCTGATATCACAGTCATCACTCTGCCATCGTACAAAGGAGGACATGCCAGCTTGACTTGAGGTTGGATTATTAGTCAAAGTTTTTCTGTCTTTGCTATGGATTTTCTTATTTTTGCAGTCAGACTTTTTGTCATTATGTAAATCAATAAATCTGCTATTAGAAAGTGTATATACTCGGCAAATATTTGCCGCATCAGGTAAACAGGGATTAATGCAGGTGGGCAAACTGTGGCCCAGGGGCTGCATCCGGTCCGTCAGACACTTTAATCAGGCCCTCGAGCTCCCACCAGGGAGCGGAGTCTGGGGCTTGCCCCTCTCCGTCGCTCTAGCTGGGGAGCGGGGTTCGGGTCTTACCCCGCTCCATGCAAGCCATGGTTCCGCGCAGCTCCCAGAAGCAGCGGCATGTCCCCACTCCAGCTCCTATGTGTAGGGGCAGCCCAGGGGCTCCACATGCTGCCCCTGCCCCAACTGCTGCCCCCGCAGCTCCCATTGGCTGGGAACTATGGCCAATAGGAGCTGCAGGGGCAACACCTGCGGACAGGGCACCACGCAGAGCTGCCTGGCCACATCGCCACGTAGGAGCCGGAGAGGGGACATGCCGCTACTTCCGGGAGCTGCTTGAGATAAGCGCCGCCAGGAGCCTGTACCCATGACCCCCTGCCATGCCCCAACCCCCTGCCCCAATGCAGATCCCCCTCCTGCCCTCCGAATCCCTCGGTCCCCTCCCGGAGTACCCTCAACCCCTCATCCCCAGCCGCACCCAGAGCCCGCACCCCCCGCCGGAGCCCTCACCCGCCCCCACTACGTGCCAGCCTGGAGCCCCCTCCCACACCCTGAACTCCTCATCTCTGGTCCCACTCCTTAGCCCGCATCCCCAGCTGGAGCCCACACCCCAACCCCCAATTTCATGAGCCTTCATGGCTCACCATACAGTTTTCATACCCAGATGTGGCCCTTGGGCCAAAAAGTTTGCCCACCCCTGGATTAATGTATAGTTGACATTTTTGACTGGTTGTGGTAACTTCTTTGGAATCTAGTCAAGGGCTTATTTTGAGAATGTAGAGCTCATAGGTCTGTAAGCTGTCTGCCTGAGATCAACTCAGGTGTCATATGTACAGTATTTAGTGGATCCACGTGCTACAGTTCTTTGAAAATGTTGTGTTTGCAATGGAGACTTTCTGTAAACTGTCTCTGCACAATGTAATGTCTGAGAGAGATTGTGCACACAGTCAAATTTTGATTACTTGAAAAATTCCTTTATTTGAAAAGAGACATTGTATTAAATATGTATTAGAGTACACTGAAAAATAAAGCAACGATGGATGGTCTTGTGGTTAAGGAACTGGCCTCTGTCTCTGGACACCTGGGTTCAATTCTGAACACTGCAGTAGAGTTCCAATGTGACCCTAAGCAAGTCACTTAGTCTACATGCTTTGGTTCCCCAGCTGTAAAATGGATGTAATATTTTCCTACCTCAGGGGTGTAGGGGGAAAAATACTTTAATGACTGGGAGTGCCTAGATACTATGGTAGAGGAGGGATGGGTCATATATAAGAAGTATTCTTATCTAGAAAGATAGATGGTTCCCTGCTTTCCCAGAACTATGTTTATTTGAATTATTTTCATCTACTCCTTTTATCTGGATAAATGAGTGTTTGATTGAATAGCTACTGTAAATAAAATCTTGGGTTGGATCTCTTGGGTCTGCAAAAACCAGCTGGAAAAACCCTTGAGGAAAAAGTTTCACACCAGATTTCTGGTGTTCTTCTAGTCCTAGTTGCAGGCTGAGATTTCAAGAGACACCGAAATCTGAGGGGCAGGGAGTGAATAGGAAAGGAGATTTCTTGCAATTTTTACATTACTAGAAGTATTAAATTACGTGCCAAAATGTCATGGCAGTGAAGTATAGGAAGTGTAATAAGTATGATGATAAAATACAGGATTCTTGTCCTTTTTTCATTTGATAATTCATTCCCTATCAGAACAACAAACAAGTAAACAGCTGCCATATGAAAAAGGCAGTTGCTGCTTGCTGGCAAAGCAGAGGTTAATGTTTCAGTTCTCTTTATGCCTATCCCAGCACACAGCAGCCATTTGCTTACCCCCAGCCATTCTGAAGCGCATAGACCCCCTTTGCTCATGAAGTTCAATAGCACAGAATTGTCATAGTAGCACATTTCCATGCCCTGATTAGGCATTCTCTTGACACAATTTATGCTTTGTTTTTAAGCAGGTTTTCAGAGTACAGTGCCAAATGGATTTACTTGCAGTATTCACTTGACATTGCATCCCATACCATCCTTGGCAATGTAAAACTTGTTCTTATTTTGCCATCCATCCCTATACCAGCACTAAGCTGACTGCTGATTTAAGGTTGGCATCTGAAGCACCCAGATGTCCGGCTTCAGGAGGATTCTCTTAAGTACAATCATCTGCTTGACAATTCATTTTTTCCTTGGCTGTTTCTTGGCTTTGTAGCAGGACCCGCCTATGCAGTGGTGCAGGGCCTGACTGCTGCAGCTCTATGGATTTTATTTTTATCTTGATGGATTTTATTTTTCCCTAAGCTTATTTAAAAAAAACTGTGTTTCCTCCAGTGTGAGACTGAGAAAAGAGTGGGGCACAATCTTATCACATCCCGTAGACTATAGAAAAGATTTTCTCCTTTCCACATACGTTCCTTGTTTGGGGAGTATATGTTCATGTGCAAACACACACCCTAAACAGGGGAAGATTGTGGAAAGGAGAATTTTTTTCATCTCATGTGCATAAATATATTTTATAATGCTGCTATATGCCACATTCAATAGGGCACATGTAGTGATTTTTGTGGGTTAACTGAGGATCATAGAATCGTATTGTAGGACTGGAAGGGATCTCAAGAAGTCTTCTAGTCCAGTCCTCTGCACTCATGGCAGGACTAAGTATTAAAGTCTGGGGATGCCTCAAGGGGACAAAGTGTGGACTGTCAGTGCTTTCTGAAAATCAGGCCCCTGTTAAGGTGGCTCGATCCAGGTACCCAAAATCACTAGTCACTTTTGCATCTCAGGTGCCACTGTGTGTTAGATGTTAGCAATTATTGTATTTTCTCAGTCAGGAATTGTGCTTGTAAATTCAATTCCCTAATTTTGGACTCCGTGCCTACACTATGTATGAGACAGAAAGGTGCAGCTTAGTTGGAGATTCTGTGCTGCCCCTCTTAGAGGCCAGAGAGTGGGAGGAAGAGTAAGGGGGGGTAGGGATAGCTCAGTGGTTTGAGCATTGGCCTGCTAAACCCAGGGTTGTGAGTTCAATCCTTGAGGGGGCCATTTAGGGATCTGGGGCAAAAATTGGGGATTGGTCCTGCTTTGAGCAGGGGGTTGGACTAGATGACCTCCTGAGGTCCCTTGAAAGCTGCCAATTCTGGGTTGCCCTGGAAATCACAGTGGACCCAGGTATGACTTGCACAGTTCTGGAGGCTGCCTGTCACCCACTGCGTATGGGCAGGAGCACTGTTCAGAATCATCAGAGTGCTATGGCTCCACCCACTCCCAGCTTTGGCATGCTCCCCGTGGCTGGTTTTGTGAAAGAGTCCTTGGAAGGCAGCCTGTGGCAGTCTCCCATAGGCCTTGTCTACACTACCGGGGTAAGTCAACCTTGTCTACACTACCGGGGTAAGTCAACTATTCCAGCTACAAGAATAACGTAACTGGAGTCGACATAGCTCAGGTCGACTTACCCTGGATTCTTCACTGCACCGCGTTGACGTGAGATGCTCTCCCATCAACTTACCTTACTCTTCTTGGGGAGCTGGAGTATCAGACTCTAACAGAGAGAACGCTCTACTGTCGATTTAGCAGGTCTTCACTGGACCCACTAAATCAACGCCTGCTGCATTGATTACAGCAGCTTGGATCTCCCCAGTAGTGAAGACAAACCCTTAGTTCCTGTGCCTGGAGAATTTTCCCCTAGCCAGATCTAGGGTTTTTAAAGACCCTTTATATGGCATTCTGCAGCTGGGTTGGGGCCTTCCTCAGATTCCACAATATACCTGTGTTAGAACTAGTAAACAAATCAAATTGTGGAATATTTCAATGAAAAATAAGGTGGATTTTTTGTGAAAATTTTTGCCAAAAACTTCCTATTTTGACCAGTTCTTTAGCTTGTTGAAAAAGAGCATTTCACTTTTTTTCCACAATAAAGAGACAAATTTTTATGACCAGTGTCCCATCTAAAACCAAGGTCTGGATTGTGCTGTGTACAGCTGAACTCTAGGCTTGCTTCTGAATAGCAGCCACTCTTATTAATTGTTGGTTTTACCTCCATTTTGAATTAAACTATAAATTGGCCCAGTTGTGTTCAGAGTTAGGTTATCACAAAGTTTTGTACAAAATTTAATGGAACCTGGACTAAATGTTGAGTTAGTAACAAGTCCTTATTACTAGGAAAATTGTACTGTGGGAAGGGGGCCGGAATTGTTGGGAACATTTCCCAACTCTATTCAAAATCATGAAATACATTAATTACATTAACTGGCTGTACAATATTTGCTATACGGGAAGACTTGTCTTTAGCCACTGTTCAAAGTTCTGGCAAAATTGTTCTGTGGCGGTTGGCTTCTGTTAAAAATGTACTCAGAATACTTGAGGAATACTTTGGCGTGGTCTCTCAAGACAGGAAATTGCCTAGTAGGGCGCTCTCTTGTACATTGTCCCCTGTCAATATAGACTTTGAAGAGGATGTTATTTCATATTTATAATGTCCGACTATG